AGAGGAGGAGAAGAAGAAGAGGAAGAAGAGGAGGAAGGAGAAGAAGAAGAAGATTCACTTCAGCAGAATAACATTTCTTTCTCTTCTTCTTCTGAAACTTAGTACATGGATGGAAGGGACCTCTTATAATGGGCATAGCAGATAATGGTCACAGTAGGTGTACAGACCCAGGAACTCAGCACAGGGATGGTAGGAACCCCTCATAGTAGGCACAGCAGGTGTACAGACCCAGGAACTCAACACAGGGATGGCGGGAACCCCTCATACTGGGCACAGCGGGTGTACAGACCCAGGAACTCAGCACAGGGATGGTAGGAACCCCTCATAGTAGGCACAGCAGGTGTACAGACCCAGGAACTCAACACAGGGATGGTGGGAATCCCTCATACAGGGCACAGTAGGTGTGTGCAGACCCAAAGAACTCAGTACAGGGATGGAGAAAACTGCTCATAATGGGCACAGCAGGTGTACAGACCCAGGAACTTAGTACATGGATGGAAGGGACCTCTTATAATGGGCACAGCAGGTATACAGAGCCCAGGAACTCAGCAAAGGAGTGGCGGGAACCCCTCATAATGGGCACAACAGGTGTACAGACCTAGGAACTTAGTACATGGATGGAAGGGACCTCTTATAATGGGCATAGCAGATATACAGACCCCAGGAACTCAGCACAGGGATGGCGGGAACCCCTCATACTGGGCACAGTATGTGTGCAGACCCAAAAACCTCAGCACAGGGATGGTGGGGACCCCTTACAATAACAGCAGGTGTATAGACTCAGGGATGCTAGGAACTCATCATAATGAGCACAGCAGATGTACAGAGCTGGGAACTCCGACCAATAGTGTTCCTGATGGTGACAGAAGATACTAAAATGTGGCTTCACTCTCCAGAGTCTACCCAACACCAAAATATCAGTGTTGGCTGTAATGACCCTTTCAGGCTCATGTACATGTCGATTAAAAAAAAAATAATTGATATCCTTAGGAGGAATAGTGTTCCATTGTTTATATCAGTGGGAGGAATAGTGCCCCATCATTGGTGTCAGTGGGAGGAATTATGCCTCGCAGTTGGTGGAAGGAATTGTGCTTCATCCTTGCTGTCAGTGGGAGGAATCGTTCCTCAAGGGTGGGATAAATGCAAGCAAATAGCTGCATCTGGCCCTCAGGATGCAATTTGGAGACCACTGGTCTAGACGGATATAACAGTGAGGAATGCTCGCCTTATTCCTCTGTCCTCCTGTGCTCTTCTGAGCTCTTGCTCCAGCCCTAAAATGTGGATGGGTCCTCAACATCCTCATGTACAATGGAGCATCACTTATGGTCCTACACCATAAGTGATGAAATTGGCAACGGGGCACCAGATGACCAGTGAAGAAGATTGAAGGAAAGAGAAGAAATCCTGCAGGCAAGGAATAAGTAAAGTATTTTTTCTTCTTCTATGTACCCCAGATGTAACGCACATTAGAACCTTATAATAGAGAACTTGGTAGACTGGAATTGCCGACCTTCCGAAAGAGCTAGTTGCCTGACTGATGTGTTGATCCTCAGACTTCCTTTTTTATGGTTGCTTATAACAGTAGAAGGGTATAACAGTGAGAAATTATCCCCTTATTCCTCTCTCCTTCTGTGCTCTTCTGAGCTCTCTCTCCAGCCCCAAAATGTGGACGGGTCCTCAACATCCTCATGCACAATGGAGCATCGATGATCCTGCACCATAAGTGATGAAATTGGCAACGGGGGGGGTACCAGATGACCAGTGAAGAAGATTGAAGGAAAGAGAAGAAATCCTGCAGGCAAGGAATAAGTTAAGTATATTTGTTTATTTTTGTTTATTCTATTCTATGTACCCCGGATGTAACGCACATTAGAACCTTATAATAGAGAACTTGGTAGACTGGAATTGCAGACCTTCCGAAAGAGCTAGTTCTCTGACTGTAGTGTTGATCCTCAGACTTCCTATTTTTACGAGTTGCTTACACTATTCATGTTACTTTACTTGTTTACCCATATCAAGTTAAAAAAAAATTGACTCCCAACAATAAATGTGAGTGACATACTTGCATTTTCACAATAATTATCTGACCTCAAGCAAACCCATTAGTGACTCAGGATATACTGACGTAAGCACATAAATGTAGGCTGGGCTCTTAATTACATATGATAAACTAGCAGATACTCCAGCCATGCCGAACTGAATTTACAAGGGAAGTTTCTAAACAAATATCTGGAATAGATCATATAAAAAGGTGTAGCTCTTTGAAAATAAAGTCATGGCCAAAAATATTGGCACCCCTGCATTTCTGTCTGATAACGCCCCACTTCATCCAGACAATTTTTGCAATGACCAATGTTTCGGCATTCTCATGTTTATTTCTTTTGTTTGTATTGGTATGACACAAAAAAAAAAAGTGGAGAAACAAAAAAGCCAAATCTGACACAGACACTGTGTTTGCTATTACTTACTAAAAGCTTTTAACCCCTTCAATACCGGGCACTTTTACCCCCTTCCTGCCTAGGCCATTTTTCACGTTTCAGCGCTCTCATACTTTGAATGACAATTGCGCGGTCATACAACATTGTAACTAGAGATGAGCGAATTTCTCAAAAATTCGATTCGGCTGATTCGGCGAATTCCAGTGTGAAATTCGATTCGATGCGAATTTCTTCGCTACGAAGATGACTTATAAAAAGGGTTTCTAGGCTTCAGAGAGCCTTTAAATTAGTGCAGAACACTGTACCTTTAATTTAAATGCCCTTGGAGATGAGGAAAGAGAAGGAGAAGGAGAAGGAGAAGGAGAAGGATGAGAAGAAGGAGAAGGATGAGAAGAAGGAGAAGGAGAAGGATGAGAAGAAGGAGAAGGAGAAGGATGAGAAGAAGGAGAAGGAGAAGGATGAGAAGGAGAAGGATGAGAAGAAGGAGAAGGATGAGAAAGAAGAGAAGGATGAGGAGAAGAAGGATGAGAAGAAGGAGAAGGAGAAGGATGAGAAGAAGGAGAAGGATGAGAAGAAAGAGAAGGATGAGAAGGAGAAGGATGAGAAGAAGGAGAAGGAGAAGGATGAGAAGAAGGAGAAGGAGAAGGATGAGAAGAAGGAGAAGGAGAAGGATGAGGAGAAGAAGGATGAGAAGAAGGAGAAGGATGAGAAGAAGGAGAAGGAGAAGGATGAGAAGAAGGAGAAGGAGAAGGATGAGAAGAAGGAGAAGGATGAGAAGAATGAGAAGAAGGAGAAGGATGAGAAGAAGGAGAAGAAGGAGAAAGATGAGAAGAAGGAGAAGGAGAAAGGATGAGAAGAAGGAGAAGGATGAGAAGAAGGATGAGAAGGAGAAGAAGGAGAAGGATGAGAAGAAGGAGAAGGATGAGAAGGAGAAGGATGAGAGAAGGAGAAGGATGAAGCAGAAGGAGAAGGATGAGAAGAAGGAAAAGGAGAAGGATGAGAAGATGGAGAAGGAGAAGGATGAGAAGAAGGAGAAGGAGAGAAGGATGAGAAGAAGGAGAAGGAGAAGGATGAGAAGAAGGAGAAGGAGAAAGGATGAGAAGAAGGAGAAGGATGAGAAGAAGGATGAGAAGAAGGAGAAGGATGAGAAGAAGGAGAAGGATGAGAAGAAGAAGGAGAAGGATGAGAAGAAGGAGAAGGATGAGAAGAAGGAGAAGGATGAGAAGAAGGAGAAGGATGAGAAGAAGGAGAAGGATGAGAAGAAGGAGAAGGAGAAGGATGAGAAGAAGGAGAAGAGAAGAGAAGGATGAGAAGAAGGAGAAGGAGAAGGATGAGGAGAAGGAGAAGGATGAGAAGAAGGAGAAGGATGAGAAGAAGGAGAAGGAGAAGGATGAGAAGAAGGAGAAGGAGAAGGATGAGGAGAAGGAGAAGGATGAGAAGAAGGAGAAGGATGAGAAGAAGGAGAAGGAGAAGGATGAGAAGAAGGAGAAGGATGAGAAGAAGGAGAAGGAGAAGGATGAGAAGATGGAGAAGGAGAGAAGATGAGAAGAAGGAGAAGGAGAAGGATGAGAGAAGGAGAAGGATGAGAAGAAGGAGAAGGATGAGGAGAAGGAGAAGGATGAGAAGAAGGAGAAGGAGAAGGATGAGAAGAAGGAGAAGGATGAGAAGAAGGAGAAGGATGAGAAGAAGGAGAAGGATGAGAAGAAGGAGAAGGAGAAGGAGAAGCAGAAGGAGAAGGATGAGAAGAAGGAAAAGGATGAGAAGATGAGAAGATGTGGAGAAGGAGAAGGATGAAGGAGAAGGAGAAGGATGAGAAGAAGGAGAAGGAGAAGGATGAGAAGATGGAGAAGGAGAAGGATGAGAAGAAGGAGAAGGAGAAGGATGAGAAGAAGGAGAAGGAGAAGGATGAGAAGCAGGAGAAGGAGAAGGATGAGAAGAAGGAGAAGGAGAAGGATGAGAAGAAGGAGAAAGGATGAGAAGAAGAAGGATTGAGAAGAGAAGGAGAAGGATGAGAAGAAGGAGAAGGAGAAGGATGAGAAGAAGGAGAAGGATGAGAAGAAGGAAAGAGAAGGATGAGAAGAAGGATGAGGAATGAAGGATGAGAAGAAGGATGAGAAGAAGGATGAGAAGAAGGAGAAGGATTGTAGAAGAAGGACAGTTCTGTGACAGTTTTCTGTCTATTTCTGACAGTTCTGGGACATTCACTCCATACAGCTGTTTCAACCCGCTGTATGAAGGGAATGTCATGGAACTGTCAGAAATAGACTATTAATGACAGTTCTGGGACTGTCCTTCCATGCAGCGGTTGAAACATTGTATGTATTTGTTTCCATAAATGGATCCATTTATGGAAACAAATACATACAATGTTCAACCGCTGTATGGAAGGACAGTCCCAGAACTATTAATAGTCTATTTCTGACAGTTCCATGACATTCCCTCCATACAGCGGTTTTGAAACAGCTGTATGGAGTGATTGTCCCAGAACTGTCAGAAATAGTCTATTTCTGACAGTTCTGGGACATTCACTCCATACAGCTGTTTCAACCGCTGTATGGAGGGAATGTCATGGAACTGTCAGAGTCCAGAACTGTCATTAATAGTCTATTTCTGACAGTTCCATGACATTCCCTCCATACAGCGGTTGAAACAGCTGTATGGAGTGAATGTCCCAGAACTGTCAGAAATAGACTATTTATGACAGTTCTGGGACATTCACTCCATACAGCGGTTGAAACATTGTATCTATTTTTTTCCATAAATGACATTCTGCAGATACACTTAGAACGGTCAGAACGGTACAGATATCCCCCAAATGTCAGAACGGTACAGATATCCCCCAAATGTCAGAACGGTACAGATATCCCCCAAATGTCAGGACAGTACAGATATCTCCCAAATGTCAGGACGGTACAGATATCCCCAAATGTCAGGACGGTACATATATCCCCCAAATGTCAGGACGGTACAGATATCCCCCAAATGTCAGGACGGTACATATATCCCCCAAATGTCAGGACGGTACAGATATCCCCCCAAATGTCAGGACAGTACATATATCCCCCAAATGTCAGGACAGGACAGATATCCCCCAAATGTCAGAACAGTACAGATATCCCCCAAATGTCCGAACAGTACAGATATCCCCCAAATGTCAGAACAGTACAGATATTCCCCAAATGTCCGAACAGTACAGATATCCCCCAAATGTCAGAACAGTACAGATATCCCCCAAATGACAGGACAGTACAGATATCCCCCAAATGTCAGAACAGTACAGATATCCCCCAAATGTCAGGACAGTACAGATATCCCCCAAATGTCAGAACAGTACAGATATCCCCCAAATGTCAGAACAGTAGAGATATCCCCCAAATGTCAGGACAGTACAGATATCCCCCAAATGTCAGGACAGTATTTCATAAGAGGCATGGCAAAATTTTTTCAAGTTGTATTTTTTGTCAAATTTTTCGGAAATTAAAAAAATTATTTTCACTTATTTTTTTTTTACATACTGCCACCAGTGCAGTACAGTGTGATCATATAACTGGCATGATGGTGATCAGGGACACTGACTGGTGACAGTATGAAAAAAAAAAAATATATATATATATATATATATTTTTTTTTTATTATTATTTTTTTTATTTTTTTCTTTTTTTTTAAGATTCATTATTCACTATGTCCAAAGTAGTACAATGTTACCATAGTAACATTGTACTAATTTTGGGGAAGTGATCAGTATTTTTTTTTTTTTTTACACAATTTGCTTATAGCAAAGAATTACTTTGCTATAAGCAAGCATTTACCTGAATGACATCGATTCATTCAGGGTTTTTTTTTTTTTTGTGCTTAGCTGTGATTTGGCCACAGCTAATCACATGACATGTGCATGTGACCTGCTGTGACTATTCACAGCTAGACACTAGTATACAATGGATGGCATGAATGAAGCCATCCATTGTATACAACTGTCATGTGACTTGCTGTGATTGGTCACAGCAGGTCACATGGTACCGGCAACTGGGGACGATACTCAGATCTGTCATCGGCCGTGTCCGAGGTACATGGCGGGTGACAGATCGCGCCGCTGCACGGCTCTGCAAACGCAAAAAAACTGCGCATGCGCGGGAGGACGCCATATGGCGTTCACCCGGAAATCTACAGCATTTTGACGGACGCCAAACGGCTATTGGCCGGGCGGCTATTGGTTAATAATTCTCATTTCATGTTCAGTGTGTCGTAATGCCACAGTAGTTGTGGATCCTCCATGCTACCAGTTGAATGTAGGCAGTGGTGTATTTCGGTTTTGTCTAAATTTCACCCTAATATGCTCTGAACATACTCCAATAAATAAATAAATATATGTGAAAGTCCATGCAATCTACCCTTAAAAACAGTCAAATTATATATTCATATAATATATATTCACCAGTGTCCAAAATAAAGTCATTCAAAACTCTGATTCCAATAAGAAAAATTACAAAATCTTTGCTGTCGAGCCCTCCAAATTGGCTCCAAAGGAAAATGTGAACCTCAAAAAAGAGAAAAGGTTCACACTTTCCTTTGGAGCCAATTTATAAAATAACACCAATGATGGGGCAGTTTTCTTCTCACTGATACCATAGATGGGGCACTATTCCTCCTGCTGACACCACAATAGGGCACTGTTACTCCCACTGACGCCAACAATGAGGCATTATTCCTTCCACTGACACCAATGTTGGGGTACTATTACTTCCATTGTCACCAATGTTGGATCCACTATTCCTCCCACTGACAGCAATGAAAAGATGGGGCACTATTAGTCCCACTGGCGTCAACGTTTGGGCATTATTCCTCCCACTGACACCAATGATGGGGCACTATTCCTCCCACTGACACCAATGATGGGGCACTATTCCTCCCACTGACACCATGATGGGGCACTATTCCTCCCACTGACAGCAATGATGGGGTACTATTCCTCCCACTGACACCAATGATGGGGCACTATTCCTCCCACTGACACCAATGATGGGGCACTATTCCTCCCACTGACACCAATGATGGGGCACTATTCCTCCCACTGATACCAATGATGGGGCACTATTCCTCCCACTGATACCAATGATGGGGCACTATTCCTCCCACTGACACCAATGATGGGGCACTATTCCTCCCACTGACACCAATGATGGGCACTATTCCTCCCACTGATACCAATGATGGGGCACTATTCCTCCCACTGACACCAATGATGGGGCACTATTCCTCCCACTGACACCAATGATGGGGTGCTATTCCACCCACTGATACCAATGATGGGGCACTATTCCTCCCACTGATACCAATGATGGGGCACTATTCCTCCCACTGACACTAATGATGGGGCACTATTCTTCCCACTGATGCCAATGGTGGGGCACTATTCCTCCCACTGACACCAATGATGGGGCACTATTCTTTCCACTGACACCAATGATGGGGCACTATTCTTTCCACTGAAATCAATGATGGGGCACTATTCCTGCCACTGACACCAACACTGGGTCTACTATTCCTACCACTGACAACAATCAAAAGATAGGGCACTATTCCTCCCACTGACACCAATGATGGGGCACTATTCCTCCCACTGACACCAATGATGGGACACTATTCCTCCCACTGACACCAATGATGGGGAATTATTCTTTCCAGTGACACCAATGATGGGGCACTATTCCTGCCACTGACACCAATAATGAGGCACTATATATGCAGCATTTTCTACTCCCACTGGTCACTGTCTGCCCCCCTAAAGTCTGAAGACCAGTAAACTGACCCTTTGTCCAGAAAGTTTGGAGACCCCTGTTGTAGATCATACGAATCTTCTCTACTTTTGCACAAATCTCTGAATGAAATCAGATGTTTACTGAACTATCCCTTAAAGATGAGACAAGAGTGAATGGACAAGCTGATGTCATGTTTCTAGAAACATCTAATAACTTTTCTGAATCTGTTGACAACAAGAGGCGATGGCTGGATAGCGCCTTGTGATGACATATAATTGGTCCCAGTGAATGTATTGAGCAGTATCTTCTGTAGTACATAATTACTCCACTACCTCCTCCACCTTTCTGGTCTGTCACCATTAAGTCTCATACTCGTCTTTCATGTTTCTATGAGGACATTTCGTGTAAAGTAAATACAACATCTATTCAAAAGGAGATTAAAAAGACAATTACAGTGGCAGAGCTGCTTCTGATTCTCAGGGACCGTCTTAGGATATGAAGAAATGTTCCTGGAACTCGTCCCTGCTTCTCAGAACTGTACAGCTGTGCCATAAAGATCCCTCCTGGGTTGAACCCCATTGATTTTAACTTCAAAGAAATTAATAAAAAAATGAATAAAACATCAATTGATTAAAGAATCAAACCATGGAAAGAATAGATATACAACAATCTGCCCGTGGCTGTGTTTGGGTTGCAGATCACACATGGCTAGAGTATGGAGGAGATTTTGAGTTGTTGGGATTTCCATTCATCACCACAAATGTTTCTGGCCCTGCACAGTTTTCACTCTATAGCTTTCACACCTGACCCTCATTAGTTACCTGCAAAGAGATCCCAGAAGTCGCAGGATTTCAAAGTTATATTCAGTGTGAAACTCAGGCTCCATGTCTAATCAAAAGGCTCAGATGATCTGGGTTCTAAAAGCTAATGATCTGTAGCCAGGGGTGGACTGACCATTAGAGCACTCGGGCACTGCCCGAGGGCCCAGGGTCAGTAGGGGGCTCCATGAAATGCACCTGGTACCTTTTTATAGGCTTTTTTGGGTGCGCTTTGAGTGTGGTCAAGGACACAGAGGCCCCATGATACCCTATTGCCCCATGAGTTGTCAGTCCTCCCCTGTCTGTAGCGCTACTCCCTGAAGGAACCGCAGGTTAGAATGGGTTCTCTGTTCTTGGCCTCGAACTCCTCAAGATTTTCAGCCCCTCTGACATACTAGTTTAGATACGCAAAATATGGAATATCACAGAAAATCATTGATGACAATAGCTATATCAAGAAACAGACAATAATCAAAGTAGTAAAGGCAAGTCTTAGTATTATTATACAGGATTTATATATTATTATTATTAATATACACACGGATTTATATATTATTATTATACAGGATTTATATATATTATTATTATTATTATTATACAGGATTTATATATTATTATTATTATACAGGATTTATATATTATTATTATTATTATTATTATTATTATATTATTATTATTATATTATTATTACATTATTATACAGGATTTATATATTATTATTATACAGGATTTATATTTTATTATTTTTATACAGGATTTATATATTATTATTATACAGGATTTATATATTATTATTATTATTATACAGGATTTATATATTATTATTATACAGGATTTATATATTATTATTATTATACAGGATTTATGGCGCCAACAGTTTGCTCAGCACTGTACAATATACCAGGAGACAATACAGCAACAATACAGTTCAATACAATAGGGATAGGAGGGCCCTGATCCTGGGAGCTTACAATCTAGGACAGTGATGGCGAACCTTTTTGAGCCCAAGTGCCCAAACTGCAACACAAAACCAATTTACTTATTTCAAAGTGCCAACACTGCAATTAACCCCTCGCCTACCGGGCACTTCTACACCCTTCTTGCCCAGGCCAATTTTCAGCTTTCAGCGCTGTTGCACTTTGAATGACAATTGCACGGAACATTGTACCCATGTGAAATTTTTATAATTTTTTTCCCACAAATAAAGCTTACTTTTGGTGGTATTTAATCACCACTGGGTGTTTTTATTTTTGTACTATAAATGAAAAAAGAGCAAAAAATTATTTAAAAAAAAGGTTTTCTTTGTTTCTATTATAAAATTTAGCGAACAGGTAATTTTTTTCCTTCACTGATGTGCGTTGATGAGGCTGCACTGATGAGGTGGCACTGATAGGTAGCACAAGTGAGGTGGCACTGGTGGGCATTGATGAGGAGGCACTGATGATGCACTGATATGCAGGAATGATGGACACTAATAAGGAGCACTGACTGATAGCACAAAC